CTGGATTAAAAAATATTTTTAAAAAATTAAAATTCCTGTATTATTACTTGTGCCAGCTTTGCTTCCCAAGCTGCAGAGTGGTAAGGCATGAATATGTCCTACAGCCTCAGTTGGAGCCCTCATTTCAAATCACTTTGTATGTGCAGGTCTACAGCCATAACACATTGTTCATACAACAAAACACCCTTCTGCATGTGCAGAATTCTCACAGAGTCTCAGTAGATCAAGGTGCAAATGAAAAGCTAAGTAAGAAGACAGGCTGTCCAAAGGGCAAAGTTTATGGTTATCTGCACAAGTTTCACCAAAACACTACAGCTCTGTGTATGCTCCAAGCCCTACCTGGGGTGACTTGTATTGACAGTTTTCCAAAAAAATAGGCAATATTTCTCAATAAACCAAAACACCAGATGGTAACTGAGAGCAGGAAGACAGGGAAAGGGGAATGGCAGTGAAACTTGTCACTGTTAGCAGATAGAGATAACCTCCACAACCTTAAAAGTGTCCTTACTGGTATTTTTAGCAGAAAATTACCCAGCCTTGTCTTTACTCAAAGTAATGCATACACAAGCTACATTCATCATCCAGGATGAACTCGGGGCTTGGAGAAGGCAAGGCAGAAGAGAGAGAGGTCAAGCTGAGGGTAAATCTGGTGGTTTAACCAGGTCATTCCAGATCATGCCTCTTCAGGACACTGTCCTGGCATGGAGGTCAGATTAGTCCTACACAGGCACACCAACATTTACCATTCAGGAGCATCACTGGAAGCATCTTTGAGACCAGCAGGTCATGGCACATTTAAAAGCAGAATTGGTTTCAGTATTGCCTTTCTCTCCTCACCAGGGACCTCAGCCAAGTCACCCCAGTCAGTAGGGAGGCTGAGTCTGGAGGAGGTGTTTCAGTTCAGGATTAAGAGGCAGAAGTGAGAACTAGGGCATGACTGCCTCTGCCCCCTGTTTTCTCCATAGGCTGCCTCCTCCCACGTCCAACACCTTTAGATTCCTGATTTACTCTTTCAGCCCCTCACTCCAGGGCAACAGTTTGGAGCTGGCTTGCTCTCTGAGAAGTTTAATGGTTTCCTGGCAAACCCTGGGCTGTAAATGAAAGGCAGACAGGCAGTACATCTTTATTCCTTACCCTCCACAGCCTTAACCTCAAGGAACTGGTTCTCTTTAGTAGAATGCCCATTGGGTGTGAGCTGGTAACACTTCCCTCTGTGTGTGATCCTTGGCTGCCTGCAGTGAGGTGGCAGCTGAGCTGCTCTACACACTGCCTTGGACCTTTCCCTTTTCTTTCTCTGAGCAAGGATACAGTTGAACCACAGCATCTAATTTTATATCAGTAGCAGGCCAAGCAACAGCTGAGCCCCAAAGACAAGCACATAGAAGGGGGAACAAATTGCGTGAGTCAGACTAAAAGCTTCATAAATATTGACTGGTTTTAACAGTCCCCTAAGGAACAGAGAATCTCATTTTATAACTACATCTCCCTCCCCGTTATGCACTCCCTCCTCTTAGGAAGTTGCAAGAGGAGTTAGTCTCCTGGCTTATGAGTACAATATTTTAATTCTTCTCTGCAGTCAAGTTGCTCTGGCTGGGACTTTGCACCACACATCAGCAGGTTATCTGAGTACTTTCCAGTCATGCTTTAAATAACATTCTGGAGTGGCCTTTGTTCTCTCAAGTTGGCTCCAGCATAGAAGTGACTTGGTTAGAGGAGAAATCTGACATTAAAAGTGTAAGAGATGAAGGCTGTAGAGCACAGGATGCATTTCAGTACCTTCTCCTCTGATTCCTATCAGATAAAGCATGGTTGGAGACCCAGAGGAGCAGACATGCAGTAGGAGGTGGTGGCACCATTCACATGTGTTTTCTTAAGCACCTTAAGTAAAGGCACTTCCCTGACAGGTCCTCCCTCAGCAGGTTGTTTGCTTTGAGATGAAACAAGCTATGCTTATGTGGAGTCCATAAGACCATGCAGCAGGACAGGAGCCCATCCTGAGAGGGGCAAGCAGGGCAGGATCAGAGACTGCAGCCAGGTTCAGTCAAGAGCCCCAGCGTTCAGGGAAGCCCATGATGACGAGGTAGATCCCAGGTCAAGATGGAAACCAATACGCTGGTCAGCATCAGGCCTGATGACAGCAGGCAGAGACAAACAAAGCTCAGTGAGCACCAGACAGGTCCACAGAGATGGGACATATCCACAGTCCAGCAGGGAAGTCCACTTGCAGGTCTGGATCCAGATCAATAGGAACCATGGGCAGGCAAAGACATAGCTGAACTCTAGACCAGAATTCCTCCAGCATAGCTCTGGGAAAAACAGGAGACCAGGCTGAGACTAAATGGGTCTCCTGAGATGACAGGCAGAGAGGGCAGTGGGGCCCCACCTGAAGATGCTCAGGACCATTGACACCCTCCAGGCACTGATACTTGTTCATCTCTCTCACACTGAGAGCTGGTGCAGCTGGATTTGGTGGCCCTGCTTGAACCAAGTCCTCTCTATTCCTGCCCTCTGGGCTGTTGACCCTTGCCATTTTTCCAATCTGGTCATGTTGGGTTACCTGAATTCCACATAGCGTGGTGAAAAGAGAAACTTCAACATGAAGGGACAGATTGGGATCATGGGAGGTAGAGATGGAGCTCACATCTTCATGTTCTCGTTATCCTTGAACTCCAGACACAAATGGATGCTTATCAATGACATTATCAGTTATCAGACATTATCAATGAGTGAAGTAATAGAAAGAATGTGGACACTGCATTGTTTTCCTACGGAGAATAAAATACATAAGAAAAATAAAATGTAATATTATTTCCAGCACCTGGACTAATGGGAAAGAAGCAAAGGAATTTTCCAAGTGGGAGCCTTAGAGAAGCTCAACAGTGCAAATCAATTACCTCCTAACTCCAAAAAATAAAAAAATTCCACTAGTGCCTGGCAGCAACTGACAGGCTTCTCTCCACCAACCCATCCCCTGAAAGCATCCACTCCTCACAGCATCCAGTCATCTTACTTCTCATATGTAAATCTGGCATGGCAGTTCCCCACCTTCACCAGAGGCATCACTTGAAAGGCCTGGCACACTCTCTACTCTCTCTGTGAGTTGCTTTGGGGGCTGAACCATTGCAATGATCCAGAACTGAAGTTTCTGTGCAGGGAAAGAGGAAATCCCAGGAATAGCTCAACTTCCTGAAAGAGCCTGCCAATAGCCCATGAGGTCTTGTATCCAAAGGTGGGGAAAAACAGTCAGATATCTGTGGATTTTGCATAAACTTAGATGAGATGGAGAAACTCACCTTCTCTATCCAGGCAAAGTCGATTTCAGAGAAGTCTCAAGACAGACTGAGATTTAGCCATTTAGCACTAAATTGAAATAGACTTGACCTTCCCTTAGGCATATAGTTTTGAGCAAAAGCTGCTGTTTTCCAGGTTGGACTCCTGTGCAAAGTGGTGCTCATCAAGCTATGGCCTCTGCTTCATGGGGGCTGCTCACCTCTGACCAGTTTGAAACTTGTACCTTGGGAAGATGGAGGTAGCTGGAAAAGTGTTCCAATAGGACATAGGTGTCCCTCAGTCCAAACAAAACTTTGTGAAGAGGGTGAGTAGTTCAGATAGCTGTTCATTAGTTCACAAGTCTGAGGGAAACTACAGGTTTGGTTAATTTGTACATATTATATCTCCAGGGAAAATTTTGGAATATTTTCTCAGTAGAGAACCCTTTGTTAATGAAAGCATCACATTCATTTTTATAGGCATATCCCACAAAAATCTGAGCCTCTTCCCCTCCATTTTGTTGATAATATATCAAATAATAAAATAATACAAGGGTTATTAAAAGGCTTGCCATCAATACCTATCGAAGGCACAAGTTGTAGGGAGAGCTGGGGACCTGAAGCCAAAAGCCCAAACATGGAAATTATACTTTTAGATGAGATGAAGTGCAGGTACCATCAGATGAAACTATCTTGGGTAATCTGGCATGACGTGGTGTCAAAAAAGCACACACAGTGAGTCACTAGGAGTGTATGTACAAATCAGAGCTTTCCCTGATCCTCTCCCCCATCCCACCATGGGGGGAGTGAGCTGGCAGCTGTGTGGTGCTTAGCTCCTGGCTGGCCTTAAACCACGACAAGTACAGATGATTCAGTTCTGCAGGAAGAGGGGAAGTGAAGAACAAAGCCTAGAACTGTTACTATTACAATATTTTTCTTGATAAGGTTTTTGTGGAAAAGTAGTTGCAGGTCCCTGATCAATAGTGATGGATAGGCAACAAAGGTAAGTCAAACCAAAATGTAGTCATGGCCTGAGAAGACATGGAATATATGCAATGTGTCGCTGTACTTTGCTCTAAAATTATAAAACAAGGCTGTGTAGCCAGAACCAGCATCTGACCTTCCACTTCTTTTTTTTTCCCCAAGAAAAAAACTGAAGACTCTTGCCCATCCTTGACGTATTCCATACCTACTGCCAAATCTGCACTCCCCCACTCAGACATAATCCCAAAATAGGATGTGATGCCTTTCCCGTTGACAAAGCCATAAGTCACAGTGAGCAAGACACACTCAACATTCTCCAATCAGTTAAATGAAAAGAGCTCTCCCCCTCTGTTTCCCATCACTTCAGCAGTCATTATATCTCACATTAATTAATACAGGCACTAGGAAGTGAGATGATAAATTACAAAACCCCATTAACCTGATTCTGTCCAAACTGGTAAAATATGGCAGCTTGTACACTAGGCAAACCTTCCATGCTAACGTGGGAGTCCTCATGCCTGAACTCTGTTAAAGCAGCAGCCCTGAGAAAGTATTTTTAATGTGTGTATGTATGGAATGTGTATCAACGTGCGTGAACAGTGCACGCCTGTGGGAACATCAGAATTCATTAGATCAGTCTGATATGAGATATATTGAACAGGTTCCATCTGACATATGTTACTGGGTTGTTCTGTCCACTCCCAGCGGAGTGAATCATATTGACAGGTTGAATTATATCTCAAGAGATATTTTTCTCCCCTCCTCCAAAGGCCATTTGCAATCACGGCACATCCACTGCCTCTTAAAAGTGAGCTCATCTGGTGCTGGTTGCATTGAAGTCCTCCACCGTGCCTGAAGGAAGGATGCTTTTGGGCGCTGGGAACGTGGAGAAGATGTGGTCTGCCCAGCTGTGTCTGGCAGTGCTAACCATCCTGACCATGGCTCTCTGTGTCCCATCTACGCATGGAGACCCTTTTTTACTCCAAGGTAAGCTGGAATACAGGCTACATGACACAGGTAGGTGGTTACTTTTTTGTTTGCTGCTTGCCATGGCCAATGCAAGATTCACTTTTCTGGGAAATAAAACAAAATGAACCCCGAGCTGTACTGAACAATCTGTTAACATGGGTGCTAATGAGAGGCTTTTTCGTATTATCATGAGCTAAAGCTGTCCTTCTGCTCTGCAGCTGGCTGTATGACACCTTCTGATAATCAGTGAAAATATCAGATCTGTTGAAATCTGGTAAGGGTAGCTCTTTCCCTCCCATTAAAAAAAATAAAATAAAAATAAAAATAAAATATCAGAGAGTAGCAATTCCAGTATGTACCATAAGAGATTTGACAGCTCATAAATGTCAGTAGTACAGCAATGCTGAACTTTTTTTTCTTCACAGAACTTCTTTTTATATGTACTTCTCCAGTAATTTAAATTAATCTTAACTTGAATTTATACTGCAAGGAAATGTCAATCATTAGTGCTCTTTCTCAAAGAGGCTTGGCAGTGGAAGAAAAGAAAGAGCCGCTAAATATAGGCTTGAAAATAACATTGCTTTTCAAATGATTTTTCCTCTTATATCACCTATTTATTTTTGTAATTATAACCAAAACATTCCCCAGGCCACTCTATCTAAATCCTGCTTCTGTTTAGCTTTTACTGGAGTGTTTATAGCATTGGTTTTGGTCTTTTTTTTTTTCCCTGTAGAAAATCCCCCAAAAAACCATGAGTAACTATTTTAAAATTGTAACTGTCCTTCATACGTAGGACTGAGGTTTATGATGGCACTCCATGCTAACTGCAGGCTGCTCTGCTCGCTCCCCTGGGTTTATTTCCAGAGATCGCAATCGGGACCAGCAGCTTCAGCCGCAGCGTGAGGCAGGGTTGAGTCTGGCCAAACACTTAAAACATCCCTTTGGCCAGTGTCCCTCAGCTTCTGCAGATTTATGTGACGTTGGCTAATGGAGCTGATTCCCTCATACTCTTGAGCATCCTTCAGGCTCATCTGGTGCAACATTTCGTTTCATGTGTACCAAGAATAATCGCATTCATCCCATCAGAGGGCTGATAGACATATGAGACTGCATTGAGCCGAAGTCCTAAAGATCCTGGAAGAAGAGGAAAAAATCCTTTCTGTAGAATCTCAGTATTTTCCATGGAATTCTGTAGGCATCTTTTAGGGCTCTGTAGGGTCTGGGTGTAGGGTACGGCTGTTCAGACCAAAGATTTTTTGAATGGCCACTCTTCCTATAACGTCTGCTCCTGGTCTATCATTCTCAAAAATTAGTGCAACATTCCAGTCTCAGATGACTCTGGAAATCTGTTGAGCAGGGCTGGGAGGGTCTCAGAACCTCCAAGGCACTGAGCTGCCCCATCCCCTGTGTCTGTTGGTTTCTGCTGAACTCTTGACCTTCACAACCATTCATTTGAGGGCATAGCCACAACCACTAAAGTAAAACCACTGAGAAAGCAACCTAAAGGGACCTCTTAGAGAGCTCCAAATTGCTTTAAGATAGCAGCCAGGGAAGGTTTTTCCTGGAAAAATTTTGCATGGTCTTGCTTTAAGTTCCTCCACACTTGAACTCTGTTCAGGAGGAATCCTTCAGTACCACTGGCAATCAGAGAGAGAAGCCCCATGTCTGAGTCAAGCTCAAGGAAGGGCTCTGGGGCTGCAGGGCTTTTCAGCCCAGTGAGGAGGGACTTCCCACCTCTGTCAGCCCTGGGAAGGTACAGGGAGTGAGCGGGGGAACTCCTGCAGTTTTGAGAAGAGAGGATGTTGTGGGTGCCTGTCTGGCTTTGCAGAGGTGCCCACTCCGCCCGCCTTGCAGAAGAGCTCGGGACTGTGTAAATCAAGGTGATGTCTCCAGCTTCTGCAGGCAGTCATGCTGATGAGGCTGCAGTGGGACTGGCCAGCAGCCCAGGGCTGGCAGGGAGGGCTCCCCATCCCACACCCTTCCACTGCGCAGCCCTCGCTGCCTGGACGTTTTATTCTGTGCTCACACACCTTCCTTTTCCACCCTGATGAGTGCTGACAGGAGACATTTTCATTCCACTTCTTAGCCTTCTTAATTTGATTAAGAGATTAATTGCATCAATTGATTAATTGATTCTTAATTTGATGAGATTGAGAAAGATATGTTTTATGTGCTGCAGAGAACCGAGTGCTGCCAGAGAGAGAAGACACAAATCACGAGGACACATTGCTGACTCTGCTTCTTAATAAGAAATTCGCATGGCGGAGACCAGAAAATATTGGTAAGTGAAGAGGAGAGCTCTGCTTCTTGAGTCTGTGTTTGCATGAATGCAAGGAACCTGCTTCTCAGGTTCTTCAGAAATACCAACTGCTCAGCAAGTGGAAGCAGCAGTGGGTATGGGGCCTACTTGTGATTAATGTCAGGTGCTCTCCATCATGGGACTCTGGGACATGCTTTTGCAAAGTAAAGCCACCAAAAACCACATACCCTAGAGCCTCAGCCACTCAAGATTTTTCTGGGAACGTAAGTAAAAACAAGAAAATTTTCTGCTGAGTCCTTGTGGCCCTACTGTCCCTTAGATGTTGTGTGCATTGCCCAGGCCATGGACCAGCTTTGGGAGCCACCTCTCTGCCCACACCCCAAACAGCCCTGTGTGCTTTTGAGAGACAGCAGCATCGTGTTATCCTTTGGGGCAGGGGGATTTTGCCAAGATTTTCCAGTGAGATCCCTTGGGGTCAGGTGTAGTTCAGGACAAGGGCAGGGGGAGCTCCTGGCCTGGGCCTAAGCCTCTGCTACTGCTGGAAGAGATTGAGACAACTGGCTTTTCCCACCCAGCCACCAAAGGTGGGCCAGGGAGAGGCTCTTCCTGGTCTGTGCTCTGTGAACAGACATCAAATTTAAAAGCCACCCACCTGTGGCTAAACTCAGACCTGCTGAAGAGAAACTTGGGCTTTCCCTGATGAGGCACAGCGATCACAAGCACCAAATGGATTAGAGAGGTCAGCTATTCCCATGGCCACTGCAGCCAGGGGAGGGTTTGGGCTGGATGTGGTGCTCTTGGAGCAGGAATCTGCCCTTCCCTGTGAAAACAGCTGAGAGGGGTCCCAGCAAAAACATTATGAAAATCCATTTATCAAACTCACTCAGTGCTCTTCCCCAGACCCTTGTTAATGCAGCAAGGCAGTGGTTAAACAAGCCTGGGACAAATAAATAAACATAAATAAATCAAGCCCTTATACTAACAAAGGCATTCTTCTTGCAAAGGGGATGCATTCAAGAAATAACATTTTTATGATAAGTTTATGGATTATTGCACTTATTACTCCTAGAGGAAAGGCTGCATTTTATGCCAGACAATTGAATATAATGAATCTCTGAGCAGAGCACAGACAGAGGATTTACAGCAGGCAGTTTCTCAGGGCTTCCTCCATAAATTAACTTCCTTCTCCCTGTCTGAGATAATCTGTTCCAAATTTCAGCCGCTGTTCATTTTCTATTCATAGCAGTCACTGGCCAAACTTACAGTTTGAAAAAAGTCAAGCCAAAACAGGCACTTGAAACTCAGAAAGAGGTAGTAGTAGTAGTAATAATAATAATAATAATAATAATAATAATAATAAGTAATACTTAAGTGACACTTTTGACTTACAGATATGCCAGGGTCTGTCTGTCTCTACCTTATGGGTATGTCAAGACATACTTAGCAGAAATCTGCCTGAGGTCCTTGCTGTTAGTGCCAGGAACAGAGCCCACACCTTCTGATTCCATCCCCACCCCCATCCCTGTCTCATCTCTCAAATCGAATCCTGATGTAATGGATTTGCTTAGGAACTGCTGCTTTTACTGTTGGATGAATATCAGAAAACATTCAGGATTTTTCAACAAAACTGTTTCTTCCTTGAAGGAGAAATCAAGAAGGCAGTCAGCTCTTTCTTGGCACCCTCCTGCTCAGTTTCAAATGTTAAAAAAAAATCAAAAAAAACCCCTGAGTCTGGCAATGTGTCTGTGTGCTGAAGTCTTATCTGAAATCTGAAATCAAGGGGAATTATGTCTTAAATCCTCCTGATGATCCAGACCAATGCCTGCTGCCATGTTAGGAATAAAGAGCCATCTCCAGGCCTGTTTTTTTTGTTGTTGTTTGCTTGTGGGGCCCAGCAAAAACATTCTTTTAGCTCTTTCCTGGCTCTTCTGCTTATTTTAGTGCATTTTTTCCCAACCTAGCACTTAAAACCAGTTAATCACTTTGCACTCTCCTCCCAGGAGAATTACTGTAGCCAGTCACTCAGCTTTGACTGTGCCCATCTCTCTTATTAAAAAATTAACCGATTTTGACATCAGTTTGTGTCTGGATAACCTCAGTCCTCAAGAGAAGTGAGACTGAAATTCCCCACCCCTGCAGCTTTCTCCTTTGCTATTCCAGGCTCTTCTGAGTTCAGCTGGATGTTTCAGATGCTGTTCTTAGGCACCTAACTCTCCCCTCTTTCTGCATGGGCAGTTCATTCATCCACCTGCATAGTTTTTTTGACAGTAGTAGAGTACTGACTAGCCTTGAGATCTCTAAGTCTGATCTATGAGGCTGGGCCCCAAGTCCTCATGCTCCCCTAACATTTACAAGTGTGGAACCTGTGCACTTACCACTATATGACTTTTCCTGTTGCTCCTCTCTGCCAGCCTGGATCTTTGCTGGTTTATAAATCAATAACTTATGCTAGGCTAAATTAGTGTCTTCTGACTTCTGCCTGCATGGGTCATGTGAGGATAAACAAGTCTTAAAGGAAGCAATGGGATTTCATATAAAAGCCAGTGACAGAAAAGCCAGCATTTGAGGTTTGCAGTTAGCAGGATAAAAATCAAAAAGCAAGAATTTCTCCTGCATTGGTATCACACAGTATGTGACCTCATAGGGAAAATTCCCCTACGGCCTGGTGAGCAGTAAAGAAGCCTCCCTCATAATGGAGAATTAGGATAAGATCCCATAGGGTTCAGCAGAGAAAACCTGCTTTTCTGTCTGTTTTTGCTGTCATTCATTTGAAGATCACTAGCAGGAGTTAAATGATAACTAGGTCCTAGCTTTGTTGTAACTTGTCTTTGCCCTCCGGAGAGGGCAAATGAAGAAATGGTTTTTAATTTGAGCTTTGGGAAGCAATGCAGATGCTGATGTTACTCTCTCCCCTCTTGCAGACTGGGAGCTGGCAAGGAAATTTGAAGAGCTTGAAGAGGTGAGAGGAGAAAATGCACAGACACATAGATGCATGTTCTTGCATGGGTAGTTAAACAATTTTGTAAGCTGTCTTTATGCCCTATCCTTCCATCTTTGCATCCTGCTACCCTTCCCCCTGCTGCTATAATTTAAGCATGGATTGAGAAAAGGGAAAAGCAGAACCTGGGCTAAACATCTGCACAAGCTGGAAAAGGCAAAAAGAGAACAGGGCTATGGACTGGTGAAATAAAAGCTGATCAGCTCCTGCCTCTGTCACCAGTGAAAGGCCAGGGAAGGCCAAGCCAAGAAAGAATTAAGCACCAAAGGACATCTCCATAGGAGAAAAGGGAGTGGGAAGAGGAGGTTGTGCTGCCTTCCTAGGCACTGTATGAGCTGGCTGCATTAGGTAACAGGTTGAAGTTGGAGGGAAAGCCACTGCCTGCCTAAACCAGAATTTTTTCTCTGCTTGTAAGAGCAGCCCTACTCAAGGTCAGAGCCCTTCTGGGTTTATCAGAGCACACATATACAAATACCTACATCTGCTGCCCAGGAACAGGGAAAGGTCTGCAGCAACTTTGGCGTGACTCCCACTGTGATCCAAACCCTGCAAGCAGTGGAAGTACTTTTTTCCCCTTCTCAGGGCAAGTTCAGTTGTTCCAGATGTTTGCATGGGTGCTGGAGGTCCTGCTAAGTTCCACATGGCACTTTTCATTTCAGACTGAAAAACCCCCAGTGCATCATGCCAGTCAGGAGGCTGCCAGCCCTACACTAGCCTCTCGCTCCAGTGCTGGGGGACATAAGCCCTGACTTTTTGAGAGCAACTCTGCCAGAGCAAAAGTTGGGATAAAGGCTGTAGATGTCCCCAGTCCACAGGAGGAGAGTAGCTAAAGATGACAAAATGCAGCAGACTGCCCACATTATAACCAAAGAAAGAACTGTGAGGGAGAGAGAGGAAGGACAACCACGGGCAATGGAGTAGCAATGCCCTCTGCTGCAGTGCCTGGATGCCTGCAGACTTCCTGCCCCAGCACTGTCCTGACTCTCTGTCCTGCAATCTCCTTCTACACAGCCTCCTCTCCTCAGGGACTCACACAGAGGGTGGAGGGAAAGAGCAGGGAGTGCCCACACCACTGCCACCAAACAAGCAGCTTAATGAAGGAGGCCGTGAGGGTAGGAGTGTTCCAAAGGCAGATCCTCTGGGAACGGTCCTGCTCCAGGGAGCACTCTATCCTTGCCAGTGATGCTGCCAGCCAATCTACATGTAGCCCCTTTGCCCTGCATTTCCCAGCACTCTGTGGAGCTCCTCATGGAGGGGCCCTTGTTTACTGCTGTGTTTGTGTTTAAACAGCTGGAGAAGTTGAAGGATCAGCTCTCAGCTGAGGATGGGTCAGAGGTGGCCTATGCTTTGGAAAGTCTCTCAGCGTCCCAGCCCAAAAAACGCGGTAGGTTTTGAATTTGAGTCTTGCAGCCATCCTGTCCACTCTCATTTCCAGGGCTTCCTTTGTGCAACAAAGACAGCCACAGTAAACATGCCCCAAATATGTTGAAAAACAGCTGGCTGGCAGCTTTTTGAGCAGTCCTGGCCTTCTCTTATGGCTGGCTGGTTTAGCAGTTGGTGAGCAGGATTGTGTTCCCCAACTCTGTCTGCTGTCGAGGCAGACACACCAGGTCTGCACACCCAGGAGCTCGTGGAGGCAGGCAGTGTCACATCCTGCTTCTCACAGAGGAACGTGGGGTTATATGAGCCATGAGTGCTGCCCTGCAGTGGGGGAGTTCCGTATGAACATGTCCCCACCGTGTACCCCTCGCCTTGCTCTGGCCTCAAAGCAACTGCTGGAGGCATAATGAGGCATGTGGACTGCAGGCATTCCCCTCTGCCAAGGTCAGTGCTTCCCCACAGAGAAAAAAGGAGTGCTTGTCTGCTGCTGAAAAACAGCTAAAAAGGATGTGGAAATCAACCAAGAATGCAGGGAACTGAGATCTGGTATGTCCCCCAGCTGGTCTCCAAGCTTTGTCCAGTCTGTATCCAGTGACTCAGGAGCGTATTGCACCAGTGCTCCCGTGAAGCTGCCCCTGACAAGCACATGGACAATGCTGTTCATGCTGGCTATCAATGGATTCCTCCACAAAGCAGTAGCAGCTGTGAACCAGAAGCCACTGCTGACAGATCTGGCCTAAAAACAAAAGAGCTGGTTCTGCCCTTAGCCCACATGTTCTGTGCACATGGAAGCTGACAACTGCCAGACAGCCAAGAGAAAATCCCTTTGTGCAAGGCTTGCTTAGACCGTAGGTGATCCTTAGGCAATATGCAATTTATAATCACCCCTGGAGGCTGTCATTAATTTGGCTACTGCAATTCATGCCCCCACCAGTCTGGAAGGTTTAATGTAGATAAAACTACTTCCTATTTCCACGTTTAAATCAGATTCTGACATAAATGAAAGCAGAGAATTGTTGTCTTCATCTAATGTCCTTCCAGGGGGGAGCTCATGTCTCAGCATAAGCACTGCTGATTCAGTAGGAGATTTTTTCCAAGATCCTGGTTTCAAAAACCAGGTACAAATCTCTTATCATACTTGATAACAGGAAACTCACATGGGATTCACACTTGTTGTTATACAGTTACTTTTTCCAACACCAAAATATGCATCTTTCCCTAATTCAGTCTTGTTTAAAGATTCTACAGAAATCAGTGTTGTTTGGAGGATGGTTGGTAGCAGAAAGGTAGTGACTGGGTTTAAAAAAGAGTAAGAACCAGATCCAATCTCTCCAAGTCAGTATCCTGTTCTTCCAGTCAGCCACAGGTGAAAACCCCTGCACACACCCCTGAAGCAGCAAAACTGCTGACCAGTAGACAGGAAAGAAAAAGCTGGTTCATGACATTGCTGAATTAGAACAAAAGGAAATATTTTAAATCAAGAAACATGAAGACAACTTATACCCCATGTTTACACTAGGAGTATCTAAAAGAAACACCTTCTAAAAGTGTTATATGAACTCAAAGCTGGTTACTGAGATGTGTCCTGAAAGCACAATGCTGGCTGCATGCTCCAGCTCTCTCAACACATGGGTCTTTTGAAACCTTCTCCAGGGCTAGAGTGGGAAGCTGAAAAAAGGCCCTTGTATGCTGACATCTTTTTTTTTGTATTCCTTCACAGCCTGCTTTTGGAAATACTGCATCTGAAGGCTTGTGAGGACTGGAGGGTGAAGATAAGCCCTTCCCCAAACTGCCTCGCTGGGTATTAACGTGTTAAGAGTTTGTTCTGTTCCCTCATCGTGCTGCTAATTTGGAAGCCATCCTCCACGACTGCACCACAGCCAAGACTAGCAGGGGCCGTGACAGGAGCTGGCAGCACACTGCCAGTCTCTCCTGTCCTCTTCCAGGTTTAACCTACCATGATCTTCTACTCAGAAGATGCTTCCCAACTTTCTGTGCTGTCCTGTGTGTGCCATTCAGGCTGCTGCCACTGTACACTCTCCCCCTTCTCACCAGGTCCCCTGAGGCACCGAACACTGACTCAGCTTCCCCGGGCTTGGGGCTCTGGCCACCCCTGCAGGCTCTGCTCTCAGCGGTCTCTGGGCTCCTGGGCAGGTCTGTGCTGCCCTGGTGGCCGCTGCTGGGACAAGAAGGCAGGCTGGGTGTGATGTGAAGGGCTCAGGGCTGGATTGCTGAGCCAGAGCTGCTCCTCGCCGTGTCCCACAGCGCACAGGGGAGGGCAGGCAGACAGCTCTGGATCCTTTGGATACCATTCCAATAAAGATTTTTTGTTGCACAGAAGCATGTGTTATTTGCTTTCTCAGCCCCTGCAGGGACCCAAAGTGCAGCACATTTCCCTTGATGTTGGCTCTTATTACCTTAATGGTTCATGTGGAGTTCACAAAGGAAGAAAAGCTCCCATTAAACACCTAGGGTTTGAATGTGCCGGGTAATACAGACCCTTCCTTTTGGCCAGGATGGGGAATGAGACCTGTGTCTTTTTCATAGGTATTTATGGGTTACTGTCCTCATTGGACTGGACCAGACCCACTGTTTTTTCTACCTGCTCACTCCAAAGACATATTTTGAGAAGAGGTTTTTGGTTCATCTGGCTGGTCAATGCAGGTGCTAGCTGGCCTTTTCTACTGCAGAATTATATCTGGCCCTGTCCAAAAGGAAAAGATCACAATCCATTAGTGATTCCTGCCTATATTCATTTCAAGTCACATTACCTACATTTATTTGCAAAAGCAAAGGACCTAATTCCCGAAAATGTAAATTCAAAATAAATCCTGATGTTAACTTTGAGGTTTCCAACAACATAAATGAGAGCAGGATCTGGTAGCCACTGTGACTGTGTGGAATGATTTTGACTAGCACTGAACTGTCTCTCCAGCTCTATTGAGCCATGTGATTTAACTGCAGCTTGCATATTACATATTCTTCCAAACGTTACCTCCCCAAAGCTGTAATTGCCATTCTACACTCATTGCCTTAGGCTCTGGCAAGAAGCACATGCTTACCTCAGCAGTACCTTGCATGTACTTCATTAACAGGAGACCTATTCATCCTGTTGCAGTCCAAAGCCAGCATCTAGGGAATAAAGCCAGCTTGCTTGATTGTATCAGTGAAGTCTAATGATTTGCAAATGACATGCAAAAGACTGTTTCCTGTTACCATTAGTTGTTTGTTATTTCTTTGGTGGTGATTCAGGACACATTTCCCATTTTCTGTTGCTTTTGTGTGAGTGAAAAGGTACGTGGGACCACACTTTCACATATCCTTACATTAGCACCAAATCCAGGAACAAATTATACCCTGTGGACAAGAATAGTCTCTCTCCTTCTTTAAAAGTTTGGTGCTCCAGGTGAAAGAGAGGTGTGTTCCAAGAGTTGCGCTGCCCCAAGCTGGTGTTGAGCTCAGATGACTTCAGCCTGCAGGAAATCACAGTGCAAGGAAAGGCTGGAGCAGCAGGCTCCATCTGTCACCTGTTTGCTGTGGCCATGCCTTCCTGACCCGGTGTGACAACTCATCAGCAAGTCAGGAAAACGAATACCGTGTCTGCGGATATTTAACAGCCTGCTCTGACCCTAGACAGGAATTCCCTGGAGTGCAATGCATCATGCTGCTTAGTAGTGATTTTCTGCTACATCCTATCTGTGCAGTTATTTAAGTGCTTGCGGTACCCAAACCAGCCCCTATTTCCTGACAGGCACTCTGCTGCTGCATTAGCTGCTTGTGCTGCAGAGATCAGCATGTATTGAATGCAATTTATTAACTAACTAGAAGCAGAGGTGGTGTTCCCCCCTCCAAGGCTTAGCCTCTACATGGCACTGTGGGAGTCCTGTCCTTTCTCCTAAACACAGAGAACAGAAACCCTTCTCCTCCACAGAGTAGCTGCTCACACTCTACCCATGCCTGGACAGTCACTCTTGCTAAAGTTAATGAGCCACAGGCAATAATTAAACAGATTTCCCTGAGACATTCTAGTAGATCATGTGGATTTATTAGAAGAAAATTCTCAGAGACATCTGAATGGATTTGCAAATCCAGGCAGCACAGGACAAGTTAGTGTGCAATGGATGCTGCAGTTTATCCTCATTTTCACGTTTGCTGATCTTCATGCTGTGCACAATGGCTGGAGCCATCCAACATTGCCTACAAAAACAAATTGTGGTGTTTGGCCTTTCAGACGTTATCATATTTGAAACAGCACTTGCTAATTTACAGATTTTAAAAGAGCGATTCTTGAGCCACAGGAAGTCTCAGTGTGCTCAGTGATGGATGAGACAAAACAGAAGGACTGTTGCTTTCTCCCATGTAATCCACACAGTGGGGTGGAAGCAGGATGAAGCTTCCAGCTCCCAGTTCTACCAACACCACCAGAGACCTGTCTGTCCTGCTTTGCTTTCACATTTCCCTTCAGATGAAGGTCATTTCTGAACACTACTTTCAGCCTTTAAAACCCTGCTTTTTTCTGGAAGCCCCAGCTAATACCTGCCAATTATTAAACACTTCTATGATCTGGCAGTATCTTTGCAAAGCTGCTGTGTTAGCACTAGATACCTCTGGTCTCAGCCTCAAAAAATATGTCACACACTGACTGCCCATGGTTCTTTTGACTGGCAGCTGTTTGAGTGGTCAGGCCACCACTCCCATAATCTGCCCATGCCCCATGCATATGGCTGCCCTACAAGCAGATTATCTGCAGCCTGTCTGGATGAGCTCAGTGCAAGAAGATAAATGTTCCCTAAACCACAGGGCAGGCTCAGGATGGATGGTGGCAATGCCCTGCAGAGGATTGCCTGGGACTGCATTTGCAGGCTTGCTTCTAGCAGGGACTGAAACCCTAGAGTCAGTCAGTCTACATGCACCCAGAGTCCAGTTCCCTTCACCTGGGAGCTTAAAGGCAGAAAATCAGCAGTGGGACCAGGAGAAAAGCAGGAAGCAAAAACCCAAGATCATCACATATGGACTTACAGGCCTTCTTTTTTCCTCTGACTTTTGAGACATTGGTCTGGAAAGCATCTGCAGTGCTTCAACTCACACACAAACACTGTCAGCTCACTCACTGAAGGGAGAATGATCTCCTAACTCAGCTGCAGTGCTCTGACAGATGGCAAGGATAGGGACACCTCTTGATGTGAGTCACTGCTTTGTGCTGCTGCTCTCAGACGCATCAGCCTATATTAGAAATATCAATAAAAGTGAAGTTTCTTGCAAATTTTCTAAGCCTGGGCCAGTCTTGGTCTCTGGGCAGTGCTGAAGGCAAGGAGGAAAATGGGATAGGCCCTTGTTATGTCTGAGCACATGAATTAGATGTTACCTGACCTTCTGAGTGGGAGCCTCATGTCCCACCATGGCTGAACCAGGGCAATTGTCCCAAAATCCCAACCCTCACAGTAGCTTTTAACTCTCATTGATTTCCAAAGTACTTTTTTTTTACTTTATTATTATTATTACTATTATTAATAATAATAATTTTAAAATTTTTTTTGGAGCTGACTCTATTTCTCCCCTTTTTGCTAGCTGATGGCCAGGTACTTTTTGCCTCATACAAGTTTAGGAAATTAACACTTAATTCCCATCTCCAGCATTACTTCCTGCCTAACAGGGTGTTTGGCAAGAATATTTTTTTTTTCCTTAATTCTGCATAATCCCTTTCTCAATGGATCTTCTTTTGCAATGCTAAGGGTGATTTATACCCAAGAACAGCAATCTGAGGAATTTAGCTGACATGGACCCAAGTCCAAAACAGAGAGAGAATGTGAGGTTTAGAAAACATCAGCTAGGAATCTGAGCATTGAGGTGTCAGCAGACAGCACTTCTCAGATATATTTTATAATCTGGAAAGGAGTGAAAAGGATGAAAGAGGATTTAAGACAAGCTGTTTCATTACGAAATGGAGAGGACATGTTTAAATTTTGCCAGAGTGAGAAATACTTGAACTTTTAGAATTGGATTCTGACCATGCCTTGTGCACACATCAAGAGGCTAAAATAAGGCATATGATGCAGATGGCCTTGGAAGTAGATGACTTCATATTTGGACACTATCCTCTGTCATGCATAGGGAGGAGTGAAATGTATTCATCCACTAAAAGTCCCACCACATTTCAGGATCTGCCATACAATGAAAACATGTCTAAATATGCTGCAGAGATAAGAGAGAGACTACTCAAAACATCAAGAAAATTACTAAGGTCTTGTCACTGTTCTTATTCAGACTAACTCCTAGTGAAGGCAGAAAACATCTCCTCCCAAACAGCAGTTCAAATGCATTCTAGCTTTGTCCCATAACTGTTCTATCCTCCCTTCATCTACCAAACAGCTCCCCTCCAGAAAGAAATGTGCAAAGCAAACTCTCTGCTTTTCATGGACTGCTGTTTGTACCTTTGGAAGTTTTATTTTCAATCCAAAAAATCTCAGTCCTGCCTAGGATAATAAAATTTCGCAAGTTTAACAGAAGAATGCCATGCAATAAAAATAAAAACATATTCTCTGTTCCCTCCTACCATGCCAATGTGCATATCTGTGAGAGCATTCTGACCTGATGAACTGAATATGTTATTATTTATAAATGCAACATTTGTAAAATGCAGCTTGAAACAGATTTTGCAGGAGGTCAATTCCTTGAGTGCCATATCATTAGGCAAAAACCAGACATGGTGTGAGGCATCTTCCACATCTCTGTAATGTTTCCAATGCAGCATCACTCATTCAGAATAGACGCATCTGTAGGCAAAAAAAGAGCAGTAAAATTACATTTTCCAATGTCAGAAATGGAAGGCTTGGGCAAACACATTGTAAGGTAGACTAGAGGATGTTAATGTTAGGAATACTGGTTTGCTTGTAGAGAGACACTCTCTAGAATTAGGGAAATTAGGGCATTCCATGTTCTAAGAAACCATCATTCCCTGAACCACTCCTCCCGAGCCTGCTGACATGACTGAGTACCTCCAGCAACAGAGAACAGGTGGCTTCTCCAAGCCTGCCCACACCTGGAATACTTTGGCTCACCTGCAGGAACTGCTAACCCCTGGTGTTGCCAAGGTGGTTCACTCCAATCCGGTCCAGAGGAACTCCAAACCTTCTCTTAGGCAGCTCAAGCACTTTCCTGCACGAGGAAAATGAGCAGAGAGGGAGGGAAGCAAATGGGAAAAGACATCTATGAATAATCAAAATGTTTCCTCATGTTTGATTCCTCTATTCCCACTAACACCTTATTATTCAGATAGAACAGTGTGCAGGAGCAGCCAAAGATGTGAGTGTTTAAAATTAAGATGCTGCACTTGTCTTACA